ACACATCTTAAAAACAGAATTTATAATTTGAGGGGGGTAAAACATGCAATTTAAAAACTACAATAAGATCACAGATGCAACAGTTCCTTTTTTATGAAATTCAAGCATGCTCATAAAGGAAATTTGAAATTAAAAGTAGGAAGATGAAAGAGAAAAGTTCTTTGACTTTAAACAAACACCAGTATTTTTTGGTTTTGTCCCATTTAAGTTGCATTTTCTTTAAATATCAGCCCCACAAATAAAAGTGATTTAAGTATTAAAAGATGTCTTAAGACATTATATTATAAGAAAGTTTAATTCTCTTATTTGGTCATTTGAAAAGAAAAAAACATACTACCAGAATCTCTATTCCAAAAAAACCACTTGATTAAGACGTTATCAACGAAGAGGTGTGAATTAAATTTAGATACATTGCTTATTTTCATTACCTTTCCAAGTTCAAAACTGTGGAACAATAATGATTTCTAGTTTATAATATCATTGGAAAATTAATTATATTGGTGATTATTCCAAAGATCTCCCTTTAGAAGGGTCAGAGGCTAGAAGTGACGTTCTCTTCTAACAAGGATTTTTTTCCCCTTCTGGTTTATCAAATAGTTCCCAGAAGAAATCAATGCTTGATAATCCTCGGTTGCAAAAGGAAAAATCATTACTCTATTATGTAGTTCAGTAATCTTAATTTATATATTTTTTTATTTTTTTAATTATAGATGGACACAATACCTTTATATATTTTTATCAAACCCAGTGCCTCATACATGCAAGACTAGCACTCTACCACTGAGCCACAACCCCTTGCCCCTGAATTTATATTTAAACTTTCAACATGTTTATGCTTGAATTTTGAGTGTGACTGAATATGAGTGAATCATTTGAGAGGACACAGGACACCTTGCAAGGAAGGGCTAGCCAATATATTGCTTTCCGGTAACAGCTCTGACTTCATCCACTTAGTTCCACAAGGGAAGAAGCCCTCAAGGCCTCTCTCCAGGACAGTCTGACTCAGTAGGAAAAACACAGATCTTCATCTAAGCCATTGTTGTAGCATCCTCTGGAAATCCAGAATGGATTTGCTTCCCAACTTTGACCAAAAGAGCCATAAACATTGAAGAAATGAACTACCCCTGTCCAGCCAGCTACTGGCCACATGGCCATCTCAACTTGTGCAGGTGAAATTAGCAAAAGGTCCTTTTTGCCTCTAAAATATTATCAAATTCTGGAGGTTAAAAGCAGATGCTATAATTTTATATTCCTTTGTTTGGAGCCTAAGATCTCACTTCATTCATACCCTACAAAAACATCATTAAACATTCATTCTCTGTATTTCACTAATTATTCACATCCATGATGGCCTTGCTGTAAGTTGTCCTTCAAAGGCAAACTTAATAACACAGTAACAGGCTTATATTAAGACGCTGATAGAATAATTGGAAAAATTACAATTTTTCAGTCTTTAATTGAAAGGCTTTTTTCGAAACCCAGGGTATCTTTCCAATGAAAATTGGAAAAAAAAATTTATTCAAGAAAAAAGCCTGTATCAGAAGGCAATCTGATTTGAATTCATTAAATATAAATTATAACATTTCAAAAGCTAATTGCAGGTTCCAAAACGGAAATGGTACCACACAAGATACAGGTATGGCAAAATATAAACTACATGGTTTATAATATGAAGGGTTAAAAAATAAATAAGCCGGACACAATGGCACATGCCTATAATCCTGGCAGCTTGGGAGGATTGTGAATTCCAAGCCAGGGCTCAGTAACTTAACGAGGCCCTAAGCAACTCAGGGATACACTGTCTCTAAATAAAATGTAAAAAGTGTTGGGAATGTGGCTCAGTGGCTAAGTACCCCAGGGTTCAAACTCCAACACCAAAATAAATAAATAAATATTTAGAAGAAAAGGAAACTGAATTTTCATGATCTCAGAATGAAAACAACTATAAGCTATTATTTTCATTGGAAGGAGAAGAAGATTTGAAATGTAAAAAATTCATAAGGCAAAATATATTCCTATGTGATAGAGGATTAAACCAAGCATACAAGTAAAATAGACTTTGTTGTTGTTTTTTTTTTTTTCAGACCAATTCTAAGTTTAAAAATGGAAACAAGACAACAAAATCCAGATTTACCTGGAAAGAACAAAAAGGCACTTGTATTGAGATTAGAAAACTTCTTGGTATTAAAATAATCAAATATGATATGTATGTCTATTTAGATTTTGATTTTCCTTTACAGAGGGATGACTTTCTTATATATGGATCAATTGATAAATGTAATTGGCCTTGGCATTAATATCATGCAATTGATATTTATTTATGGATATAACTGGCCAATAAGTAAACTAATATATTATGTCCAGTTCATTAGTTCTTCTTAGTATATAATGATGATACCAGGGCTTTTTTTAAGTCTCTAAGAGAGTTTCTACTCTTATATCTTAATTTCATAATGATCATGTCTTCTTTGAAAAACAGTTAAGATGCTGCTAGTCATTGAAAAAGTCAACATTGGTTCTTTTTACTGAAAAATAAATAATGCCATAACTTTAAAAATTAGCACTCCATCGTGAATTTATACCCAAGGTTCAAGATAAAGAAAAACGTACAGATGATTAATTCATATATGTCCAGAATAATATAGTCCAAAGAAACTGGGCTGGGTAATTTCCCGACAAATTCAAGTGGTCATGACGTTCAGTTCAAATCTAACTCAAACATCTAAATAAAATATCTGTGGCAGGCAGAATAATGACTTCCCCATCTACGAATAGGATATATTATGGGATAAGGAGTGGGTTAGGTTAGCAGATCAAACTGGGGTTGCTAATCAGATGAATTTTAAATTGGAAAATTATCCTTCATCATCCGGGTGGGCCCAATTTGATCACAAAGGTCTGTAAATGTGGAAAATAGAGGCAGAAGTGTGAGAGGCACAATGATGACAGGTGAGGGTGGACTCTGCCATTGCTGTCTTGGATATGGGAGGGGTTACAAGCCAAGGAATGCATGTAGCCTCAGGAAGACAGAAACAAAGGTCCTGGATTCCCACCTAGAGTCTCCAGAAGAAACAAACCCTGTCCACACCCTGATTTTATCACTGGGCTCTGTTTCAGACTTATCACCTCCAGAACTACAAGGTAATAAATTTGTGTTGTTTCAAGACACTGAGTAATGTCTTATAGCAGCGATACATAGCGTGACTATGCAGTCAAGGGTCAAGGCTGTAATATGTAACAGGGGTGTGTCCGTGTGCATTTTTGAAGGAATTATGACTCAAACTGATTAGTACAATGTCCTGAATACCTTGACCAGTCATTCAAGTTTTGTGATTAAAGGAAAATTTAGCCATATGCCAAACAGACCCAAAAGCAAAGTCATGAGAATAGAAACCCATTGTCCCTAATAAATACATTTCAAGCCCTATGCCACCTTGACATTTCATTAGCAAAAGAAGTTGCCACTCCTTATTTTCAAGGAAATAAGGTAAGAATGTGTTTATATTTCTTATGTTATATAACATTCTTGTTTATAATGTTCACTTATTATAAATAAAACTCATATGTTCAAATCCTAACCTCCAAGGTGATAATATTAGAAGGTGGGCTATTGAGGAAATGATTAGGTCACCAGGGCAGAACCCTCACAAATAAGACTGGTGCCTCTATAAATAGGCTCAAAAAACCTCCTTCACCTCTCCACCATTTGAGAATACAGTGAAAATGCACCATCTCTAACCAGGCAGCAGGCCCTTGCCAGACACCAATTGCCAGCACTTTCATCTTGGACCTACCTAAAACTATGAGAAATAATTTCTGCAGTTTATAGTTGGTGATAACAGCCCAAATGGACTAAGACAGGTGCTATGGAAGCAATCTTCTCTTTCTAAAGCCAACAGCAGGAATGTTTTGATTGCACTAGCAGATTTGAGTAAGACAATAGCAATCCTTATATAGAATAAAATGCTCTCATAGAAGAAATGAGCCACTTTTTAAATGCTATGTCTATTTCCTCTACCTGATTATCTCATATTCTATCTCATCACCTGAGCATCTAAAAGACCTATTTGGCTATGGAGATTAAATATTGGTAGGTTTAATATACTTCAGCATCCTGATCTATCTGGGCATCTCCACACTATCAACTTAGGGCAAGGTGACAGGGGATCCATTTTTAAAGTGTGGGGTCTTGCATTTGCCTATGGTCTGAATGGCACCCAACTCCCATTCCTTGCAGACTAACATTCCCTTGTCTCTTCTGCATTTCACAGAACCAACTGCACACCAAAGCAGGTTTGGGGGTACAAAGGTGGTCATAAAGGCTTTTCATACTGGCCACAAGTCAAAAATTAGTATCACTGTGATGGACCCAGAATTCACCTGGTTCTTATCAAAAGGTGTGAATCTTAGCAAAATTGTTATCATCAAAATGATGTGAATAACTTGCAAATCACTGTTCCAGTTCATAGATGTTTCCCTTCTATCATGTTCTCTACGTACATTTTATTTTGGGGGGCTTTAGTGATTTGAGGTCTTTAGGATTCCCTGTTAAATTGCTAATATTCCTAGGATACTAACCAGAGAGCTCTAAAAAATATAATCCAGAATGCAGAATTGACCTGGAATTGGGGGCCTCCATGGTAGGCTAATAGAGTTTACAAATAAAATCTTGGCCTTGAAATGTTTTGGTACCTATCTTATTTCTGAAGTGTAATCTATTGAACATGTCATTGGTCCATTGACTATTCTCCCAAAACAAACCTACTATCTTCATTTAGCATTCCAAATCAAGTATATAAGACTGTTCATGTGTGATTTTTCTATAGTCAACAACCAAATATAATGAACCCCCAAATTAAGGCATATATGGAGTTAAATGTCATCTTTGGATTTTGACATGCTCAGTTACTGGAGAAAAATGTTTAAAAAATATTTTCTCCTGGAAGATTAGAACTGCATAATACATTTCTTTTTTAGTGAATACTAAATGATAAACTTACATCGGAATTAAATCTCAACTGGCAAATGTTGCATGATATGATTTGCTTTCTTCGATGAGGAAGAGGAACCCCGAATGTATGATTTATTACAGCTTTCTGAATCGGGTCCATCTGTAATGAGAAAAATACAACAAATAGAAATAAAGCTTGTCAGTTCCATTGGAATGTTGCCTATTTTATTAAAGAGCCAATCTGTACAGCTTCCATCTACTGTTCACATTATAAAGACCATTTTTATTCTAAGAAAAGGCATTTCTACTTTCGTGGAAAAGAGATAACAATAAGCCTGAAGCTCAGTATGATAAGGAAATGAAAAATGTACCCATTAGAGTCTGCATACTAAGTGCTTTTCTCATTTAGGATTAAGAATTGTTGCAGTTAGATAGTCCTTAAGTATAATTGAAGGTTTATCAAAACGAGTTCTTGCTAATGCCAGTAACCTATACCATTGCCCCTAAATGGACTTCAAAACAGACTTGATCAGTTGAGCAACCGTGAAATTAAATATACATTATTAGTCAACTTTAACCTTATGCTATGCTTGGAATCTTTTAGCTTCTAAACATATAGCATACAAATCTATTTTTCAAGAATTGACACGTATGAAGTTGTTATTTAAGTCATTCAGCAATCATTTATTGACCTTCTAATATATTCTGATATCCTATGAACTTAATTTGGTGGTTTACAGAGCTTTGGTAAGATGTCTGTTCTCTCTCTCCATTCCATCCCAAGATAGGACAAGCAACAACAAAACCTAATATCAGAAATCCACTTCTGATAAAACTTAATGTCCATTCAATACACTCTGTCTTAGGGTTCACGTGCAGGATTCTCAATAGTTACAGCCACATCAAAATTCTGACTTGCTTCTTAATTTTTCTGCCATATCTTTGATCCTCTCTTTTTCTTTTTTCTTATCATGGTTACCGGGGATTGAACTCATGGTTTCTCTACCACTGAGCTATATCCCTACTCCTTTTTATTTTTTATTTTGAGACAGGGCCTTGCTATGTTGCCTAGGCTGGGGCTCTAACTGGTGAACCTCCTATTTCAGCTTCTCAAAGTTTTTGATGAGGTGTAAATGTGATAATTCATGAAATTTACTTAACACAATCCATTCTGTGTGCATTAAGACACGAATAGATGTTGACTACTATGTTTTATACATTGTAAGCCATGTGAAGAAAAAGGTTGCATCAGCCTCACAGTCCTATAGTCATTGTTGACAACCTACCCATTTCACATATGGCCTAAAACAATTCAAAATTATTCAAATTCTGTCCATCTGTCCAACTGTCTATCTATCTATTTATTTATTCCATGACTTCTTTTGAAACCTTACAAACTTAGGAACTTTTTTATTAAATTTTCAAAGCTATGATAAGAGTCCTTACCAAGACTTGAGACAGCCCAGAAATGACTTGTCATACATTAAAAAGCTAAGAAGGTGTCTGAAAAATGATGTCGAATATTTAGCTTGTGTTCCACATTAAGTTCATTAATTCCTCTAAATAGGACATCAATAAATTTCACTGGGTTTTGTGTATTTCCAGTCACTGGAACTAGTTGGCTCCCAGGCTCCCTCTAAGGATAGGGAGAAAAAAGTTTCTGTCTCTTCTGTATTCCCATCTCCTCATTAGGTACTTTTGATGCACACTTCTAAACAACAGCAACAACAACAACAACAAAAATAATAGCAGTCAGCATTTATTAAGTGCCTTCCAGGTGGGAAGCAGTTAGTATGACCGAGAACTCATGGGTCTGATCATTTTTATTGGCCACCTCCCCTTTGAATTTATCATCTCATGTCAATACTTGCCCGGATTCTAGATGAAACTCAGGCTGCCCCCTGTCATTTCTAGTCACTTCCAGGTATATACAAATAATAGGATTCCCCCCTCCCTTACTGCTGAATTCTACCATACTGTCTTCTGAATCAGCTGAAATTAGGTATCTTTAAATATTTATGTACATAATAAGATTCACCAATATTAAGGGTACAAGCTGATGGGATATGATAAATGCCTTCAGTCACAAAAATTATCAGAGAGAACATTTCTAGGTAATGAAACAGTTCTCCCCTTCCACTCTGAGGTCAATCTGTCTTCTACTTCCGGCCCAAGGCCACTGGTAGGCTTGCTTGTCACTAGAGTTTTGTTTACTCTAACTCTATATAAATGGCATCAAACATTTTATTGTCACTGTGTCTAGCATCCTTCATTCGGTCTAATGCTTGTAAAGTTCACCTGTGTTGTTGCGTGTCTCAGTAGTGGGTTTCTTTTTATTGCTGAGTGGTATTCCCTGTGTACCAATAGATCACAGTGTTTGTAGATTTTCCAGATGATGCGCATTTGGATATTTTGCATTAACTTCTATGATCTTTTCAAGTGTTTAACAAACTTGAAATCTAAACTCACCTTTTAAATTCTGTCCAGGATTGTCATCTAAACTTTGAAAAATCAGTTTAAAATTACAGTATCCTTTTCCCTTAGCATGGTCCAGCTACAGGGAAACCTACTGCCAACTTTCCCATCCCAGCCTCGCTTCCAAACTTTCCTCAACTCCACCTCATTCCTGTTTCCACCCAATAAAAATTAACAATGCACAAAGTATGAGACAGTAGTTATGCAAGTGTATAAATAGATGAGATGGTCTCAACAGCTCCCATCCTCCTCCCTGTGACAACCTCAGAAATGATTAACCCTTAAGCCATTAGCAGAAGGAAAAATTAAAGGCAGAAAGAGGACACCACCTTGGAGAAGTTCTCATATGGTCCTGTTGGGTGTGTTCTGTGTACAAACAAAGCCCTTTTCTTTTAGAGGATCAGGTGAATCATGCCCACAACTCATTAAGAAATATTAAAGTCTCATAATGATGCTTTGAAATATAAATGTACTGCAATATTTATATCAAAGATACACTCTGAAAATACCCATTGCCAATTTTTATCATATATTGGTGAGCAGGGTATTATTTTGGTCTTTTGATAACACTGGGGAAGCTGCGTTTGCGATTATATTCAATCCAAAACTGTGTAGGAGGTATTTTGGAACTAGACACTTCATGCAAATGTGACATATTCTCTAGATTAAATTCTTTTGTTTGAATTGAATGATGTTCTGATCACGGTGGCTATAAAATCAGATTTCAAAATGCAAAGTGGTGTATTATTCTTTGGAGACAATTTTATTTCCTGGTATACTTAAGGGGGAAAAAAAAACAACACTTAACAGAATTATACTTTGAAGATGGATTTCACAAACTGCAACTACATCACCAGAAGTAATTATCTTTCATCATTTTAGAATCTAATGCAACAAGATTATAAAAGTTAACACCTTTATTAATAAAAGTAAACAATAATCTCTACTGTATGTGTTAATATATACACATATATAACAAATTACAATGAGTAATTATAAAGGTCTAAATACTAGTCATTGTTTAATATTGAATTAGATGATATCACATGCTATACTAGTAAAAATATTATCTATTATTCAATCTACAGATATATACACAGCCATTTAGATCATTTAACTTAAAGGTTATAATTCTTTACCATTATAAACTTTCTGCTTAAAAGAAAGTCATATGTTGATTTTTCTCTCCACAAACCAATAGATCTGTTCTGTTAAAACAATAATCTCTCACAAATATGTGCATGTATTGTTATCAGGTTTTCTGCAAAATCAGCCTTAATAGAGGCCAGTGTATGAGGGGTTCTTGGATCAAACAAGTTGTAGAAAATTAAAATACTAGCCCAGAGATTCACAGTGCACAACAATATTAAAATATGAGATACCCTAAAATAAAATTGCTTTAATTTAGCTTATAAAATAATATGTAGCCAATATATATATTAGTTTGCTCTTCTGTTTGTTTTAAAATTCAGCATGTTTTTTTTTTCTATACAGGCAATTTAGAAAATAGTGACCTGTGAAAAAGAAAAGTCATTTTTAAAAATGCAAATAAAAAATAAAGGCTTGGGTGTAAAGACACTAAAATTATAACACATAGAAATCAGGATACATACAAATCTTCAGCCACATTCTACTATAGTTTGAAACTGCATTAAAAGCTAAAGAAATGGCAAAAATCGATATGGTATTTTATGACATATTTGTCTGATTTCAAAATTGGGATATTTTACAGGGTAGAATATCTGAATCCACCTTCCACCTTCTCAAAACAAAAGCAAAGAATGGTACACTACCAACTGATATGCCCACCCAAACTCAAGACTAAAATTCAATTTCAAACTCAGCCTATGGCCTTATTTAAAGCCAAAATGAATATGTTTTTCTTCATTTCAGGCTTAAGGACCTTTGCATTTCTATCAGAGGCTGAGGTTTTCACCACTTCCCCTCTGGGCATTCTGCTAAATGGATTTATAAATGAGCAGGCAAGGGGCACATCTCAGGGGTTCAGCTCCGGAGTTCCTTCTGTATTTTTGGAGAGGAGGTACCTTAACCCTGAGTTTGCACTTTGTGCTCTAGGAGACACCCTCTCTTTCTCCGTCCTATCATTATTGTGGTCTTTCAGTCTTTAAATCTAAGAATAAGAACTTAAATGCCAGGAAATTTAGAAATCCAGAATTGTAAAGGTTGTCTCTTCCAGCTGATATTTCTATATAATAATGGCTAGTACCAATAATTCTAAAGGTTACACTTACAGACACTTACTGTGTGTTTGATGTTTATAAGCATTATTTCTATTGTGACTGACTGAGGAACTCTTTTTGTCCCTTGCTGAATATCACACAACTAATAAGGGGCAGAGCAATCTCACACTTAAGAGCCTCCCATGCTGCACAATCCACCTAAACTCTCTTGGGTGCTATGATCAAACTCTGCGAGATATATTACGGCTACAAATTTGCAGGACCTTGTAACCCATATACAGGTTTGATAACTTGCCAGATACAGGTATGTGAGGATATTTGCAACTCTCTTGTACTGAGTGACACTGAGCAGAGCCTGATTATTGACTATATCACCTTCCAATAAGTAAAATTTGTATTTATATTACTTATATTAACACACTAGGAAATACTAATGAAAACATTTCAAATCTCACTCTTACACAAATTTGTCCTTTTGAGAAAC